GCTTAAATTCCAATTCCCTTGGTACATCTGCTGCAGTTATACCGTTGGTTTCTTTCATAGCTTTTTGGGTTCTGAGGACCCTTCATACTGTTCTCTATAGTGCCCACAAACCATCATCAGGAGGCATCTGTATCACAGAATAAAATATTCAAGCGAGGACCAAGTATAAGGGCTACATAGTACCTTCTGTAGTAGATAACTTGTTTGTCCCTGTCTGACCCTTTAGAGTCTACATGGGCCCTTATGATTTGGAGCTCTGACTTGTCCCCACAGCATTAAAGTATATGCCACAAATCCCTAGCTTTTTGTCCTAAGTATCTATTTACTTTGTGAGTCTCTGAATTTCTCAGTCTCTTTCTCTGCCTTGGGATTCTCCTGGGAACAAAGCCAGACAGAGAGACACTGGGTACAAGCTGGCGAGGATGCCTGCTGATCTCTGTTGGATCTGGTTGCCTGCCAGTGTAATTACTAGAGGGGACTTTGCTAGTACCTGGCTGTCTTGAGTCTCATCATCTCTAAAGACCAATACTGAAAGTGGCTGCCGTGGTATCTCTCAGCAGCAGGCAACTTACAAACACAGCTAACCTCACCTGTCATCGGGGAAGACATGCATATGGATTATTCAGAAATTCAATTTACCTCTACCAGGCTGGTGATGGCTTTCATGTGGGAGTCAACAGTATGTAAATAGTGGCTCTGATCATCAAGAAGTTTGCAGTCTGCCAGGAAAAAGAATTACATAGAACTCGACCCTGACATGCATCTAAGAAAATTCTGGTAAAATGTTTTAAAAGCAATTTTAAAGCTGTCACATAAAAACAAAATGCATCATAAGAGACTGTTGTCCATCTGAATAAAATCTACACAACAAGGGAGAGGAAATGTTGATGGCTGTAGTGAGCAAGAGAGGAAAGGTTATTGCAAGAGAGATGAGGGAGAGAAGCCTGGAAGAAGCAGAGAAGACAGAGAGATGGATGGAGGAAGAGGACTGAGCTACACACCCTCAGAGTTATGCACAGTCATTCCAGTGCAGGCAGGCACTTAATGGGATGCACAGTCAGAGCTGTACACAGTTACTCAGATGCAGGCAGGCAGTGGGGTGCATAGTCAGAAGTATACACAGTCACTCAGATGCAGGCAGGCAGTGGGGTGCATAGTCAGAAGTATACACAGTCACTCAGGTGTAGGCAGGCAGTGAGGTGCACAGTCAGAAATACACACAGTTACTTGAATGTAGGCATAATCAGAGGTACACACAGTCACTCAGATGCAGGTACAGTCAGTGGAGTACACAGTCAGAGCTGAACAGTCACTAGGCTGCAGGAAGTCAGTAGGGTTTAGCTCTGGAGAGGAAGAAAAGTGAGGTAGGAGGAGGAGATTGATCAGATATGGGCTATAGAGATTTGGGGGGCTTTCTAAAATGTTTAGTGATTTTTTTTTGGTCATGGCTGTGGTTGAGCTGATGTTGTTTGGGGCAACTTTGTTTGACGAAGATGCTCCTGTCTATTTTATAAAACACAGTACAGTGGCTAACTGGAAAGAGGCTGCACAATGGAACCCATAGCAGGGGAAACCAGCAGCTCTGTGTTTCTGCACCTTGGTGCAGTCAACTGTAAGGCTCTAAGGAAAGGAGAAAGGGTTCACTTATAGCTTTAGGTTCTGTGTAGGCAGACAGCCATTCCCTTGGGAATGGGTTACCTGGCAATTGCCTGAGCTTCCATCTGCACCCCTATAGATATGTATAAACACAGTTCTGGGCTGCACACCCTACAGCCACACTTTGGTAGGTGTCTCATTCAGGAGCTGGAAACCACTGAGTTTTTTGTCCTGATGCTCCCACCCCCCAGTTCCAAGCTGTCCAGTCACCCACAAGCCTCCCTGCCTGTGAGGAGCCTTAGTGCGTGGAAGCACCACCAGCTGACTCACACTCTTCTTGACTGCACAAATATTTGTGGAGTTCACCCCCATGATTAAATCCTTTCGACAAAGGGAACAGACTTTACAGTGCTCTTTATTAGTTATTGGATTTTCCATTTCTCACTGTGGGGGTGGAGGAGAAGATGCAACAAAGGCAAACAGCTTGAAATGGATTGTTTGCTTCCCTCCAGGGTAATTTCCTGGCAACTGACAAAATACACAGACTAGGAGAAGCAGTCACCGACTTATTGTAAGACCATTTTCTTTGTATTTTTAGATCTAAAAGATCTCTTAAGACCCAATTTTCTTACTTTTAAAATGAGAACAACAACACTAATCTCATAAGATGTCTGTGAGCAAGTTGCACCACCATATGGCAGTGGATAGCAGTACACTGAAAGCTGGGGGAGGGGCTGCACCAAGATTGCATTGTAGATGGCACCTGCTTGAGCTTGACAGCGTGCCACCTGTAACACCATATGTGACAACACCACCTCTGAGGGAGGATCAAGGGACCTTATGGATGTGCATTTTAAATTACACAATATTGTTGCCCCTGCCACAACAAAGGCATATATATCTCAACCCCTGGAGGTGAAGAACTGCTTCTAGCCAGGAGCTTGACTGAGCCATGAGCATCTTGAATTGAAATATACACAATAGCAACAATGAGCATTACAATGCAAATGGGAACTCTTCCAAGCCATTTGACCTACAGTGAGAAGTCAATTAGGAATCACAGAGTGATGGATCACATATTAATACTACCAGGTATATACTAAGTGTCTATTGCACAAATTCACACACATGCAAGCAGTCCGTGTTCATCATTGAGTCTAGTCTTCACTACCAATGAGGTAAATGCCAATAGCATTTCTCATTTTGTGGTAGGAAAATTATACATAGGGACATTAGGCATCATGAGATGATGACAGGTTTTCCAAAGTTCAGGCTTTCTGCCACCTCCTTGGTCTCAGCAGAGAACAAAAGAACATATGCAAGTCTGGGCATCACTCATTCTGCCTCAGAAATAGATAGTACCCAGAGCTCAAGCAATGACTGATCAGTGGACCTGCCTCAGCTGCTCTGTGAACTCCTTGGGTCTCAGAAACACAGAAAGCACATATGAGCAGACTATGTCCACCAGACGTTCAAACTGAGTCCTGGGAAGGTACAAGAATAAAAGCAACAGCAAAAAACTTTGGCCTTTCTTGCTTCCTTTTATTGCTGCTTTGACTAGAGATGTGAGTTATGACATCTCAAAGCAAATAAGTCCATGACTTACTTGGAATAACACATATACCCCATTTCATGGGTGCATGGTGTTGAGACCTGAGAGGTTCCAGATTCTTCCTTCTCCCCCAGGCGCATTGTGCACAATAGTCTCTACCATCTTACTTCAATCTAGTGCCATGTTTGTGGCTGATGAAACCAAATGTCAACCAGCACTTAGCCCACTGGGTGGAGCAGAAGTCTGGGGCCAACAAGCTTAAGAAGCGTACACATACAAACAGCACAAAGACTGATGACAAAAGTTCATGGGGCCGAATGTGAGAGCTGCAACACCAAGATCAGACAGATGGTGACGGAGCACAGACAGGCAGCCAGCCCAGCTCCTTCAGCGGCAGACGTTATTGAAAGTTGTACTTTCATGCTTAATGCACATGAGTGGTAATAGAATGAGCGGATCAAATTATCGCATCTGGCAAGGAAAGAGACCAATGGGCACAGAGGAGATGTTGAGTATGCGTTTGTCTAAACATGTGTCTGTCTGTCTGTCTATGTCTGTTTGTGCGGTGTATTGTATGTACATGGATGAATGAATTTGAAGATTCATGTCTGTACATGTTTATGCATACATATCTAAAGATGTGTGTGTGTGTGTGTGTGTGTGTGTGTGTGTGTGTGTGTGTGTTTATGTGTAGTCCAGAGGCAACATTGGATATCTTTCTTAGTCACTCTCCACATTATTTTTTTTTAAGACAGAGTCTCTCACTTAACCTGAAGTTCACCAATTTGGAGTAAGCAGCGAGCTCCTAGAATTGTCCGGTCTCCACCGTCCCATCCAAGCACTGGGGTTATGATGGAGCCACACCAGACCCCAGTTTCACAAGGATTTTACCTCTCTAAACTCTGGTCCTCACTCTTGCACAGCAAGCATTGAATCACCTGAGTCATGTACTAAGACCCCCAAAGCATTTTTGTAAACCCTTTACTTCAAAATATTACTGCTCCGTCAACATGAATTACTTCTGCTCTTTTAGGGTATTTAATGGTGTCCTCAGGGGCGAATAGGAAAGCATGTGATGCTCACCTTGGTTTCTCAGGTGATCCATGGCACCATTCTCTCTTCTAAAGCACTCTGCTCACTTAGGAGACCCAGGGAGCTCGTCTGCCCGTGTTTACCTTTAGTCATTTGCAGGTTCTCAGACTCAACTCTTTCATGCTACCTTGGAGATGGACTTCCTGATTCTCTGTTCTTGGTCTGGACTTCACTCCTATCCTAACTGATTTAATAGCCTTCCCAGGCATGCTGTTTTCTTGGACTTTCAGTCTCCTCCTATGTCCTGGCCTTCCACTTCTGTTCTTACCTGGGCCACACATTCATCCCTGTATAACACTGACGTCACTACAACCCTTTCAGTCTTTATTCTGGAAACATTACCAGTCCATCACGTGTCCTATCACCCACATCCTGTGCCCCATAAAGATCTTCTCTTGGCTGCTCCCCTCCTTTATGACTCCATCCCTTCTGCACCCAACTTAGATGCCATGGCTTGTCATTTCAAATGCTCCCTCTCCCTTCTCCTCACTCAACCCACTTCTTCCTTCTGGAACTAGGAGATGGGATGGCTGGGGAACCATACACTATATCTCCTTTTCTTCTTCCTGATTCCATACCAGGGATGATAAGGGGAAAGTATGTCCACCAATCCTGATCTCAGGCTGGAGAAAAGCACACTGCCCGCTGGCTAGCCTCCATTAAAGTTCGGGTTTACAAATGATTAATTCATGACCTGCACTTTGTTCTGCCTGGCAATCTTTCTCGTTTCCAACTCTACTTACTTTCCCATGCTGCTCCAGAGCTCTTTGGTACATTCACCTTTTTCCTCCTGGCTCCAGCAAGTTTTCTGTCCCCACTCTTGCCCGATTGCCCTGCTTCTTAATTTATAGAGCAGCAATCAGCACAGGAATTTCACAAGCTCCAATCGGGATGTCTTCCAGGCTACCTGCATTTCCACCCGCCCACTCTTCTGGTGACTACAGATAGGTAGTCTGTGCACTTCCAGAGGCACAAGCCAAAATGTAAGTCAGATGATGCCACTTTGCTCAAAATTCTTTAATAGTCTGAGGTATGTGTGGGTGCGTGTGTGTTTGATGTGTATGAGCACATGTACATGTGCATGCTTGCAAAGGCCAGAGGTCCAAGTCAAATATCTTCCTCAGCTACTCTCCAAGACTATCCTTCTTTCTTTCTCTCTTTCTTTCTTTCTCTTCCTTCCTTCTTTCCTTCTTTTCTATTCTTTTCTCTGTTTTGTCCTTGAGGTGGGTTCTTTCACTAAGCATGGAGCTTACTAGTTTGCTAGACGAGTAAGCCAGTGAACCCTAGGCATCTATCTGTCTCAACTCCCCAACTGAGGTTACCAGCATGCACCCAGCTTTAACATTTTTTAATATACTTTTTGTTTATTTAATTTGTGTACAATGTGCAATGTATTAGAGCAAGGGCAGAAAGTTGATTGTTAAAATGTCACAGCATCAAGTGAATGTAAAGGGACAACTACAGGACTTGGTTCTTTCTTTCTACCATGTGGGTCCCAGGAATGGAACTTAGGTCACCAGACTTTGTAGCATGCACCTGTATCTGCTGAGCTACATCACGAGTATGCACGAGGTTTTTGTTTGTTTGTTGTTTGTTTTTGTTGTTGTTGTTGTGTTGTGTTGTGTTGTTTTGTTTTTTATGGGTACTTGGGTCTGAATTCAGGTCCTTATGCTTGCAATACAAGGACTCCCTGATAGAGCCATCTCTGAAGCCTCCATACTCATGATAGTTCAAGTCCAGATGATCCTCCTGGATTATCTATTCTTCACACTTTTCACTGCCTCTGCAGACTCACTCTCCCCACTACGCCCTCCATCTGCAGAGCCGGACTGGCCTGCTATTCCTAAAACTCTGCTTGTACACACACTTTGCACCTGCTTCCTTGCCTAGTCTCCTCTCCTGATATCCGAAAGCCTCCCTCCTTTCCTTGTCCTCGGTCACTGGTCAAGCAGTAACTTATCAAAGAAGCCTTTCCTAATCCGTTGACAGTTGACAGAATTCCAGCCTTGGTGTACTTGCCCGTATTTCCCAGTATTTTTATCCCTGGCACATGGCTGCAGCCATTGTTGCTTCTGTTCTTATGGCTGCAGCCATTGTTGCTTCTGTTCTTCCTGAGTCACGTTGGATACAAACTATTGGAGAACCACTTTGTCTTCTTTGACTCACTGCTGTGCACAAAAGTCCCCAGTACAGTATGTGGCATCGGCGGATGCCTGAGAAATATTTGAGCAAATGAGCTAATTTGGCTTGCAACTTTGGCCTTCACATAAGATTTCATTCCAATCAAAACTGTCTCTCCTAAAAATAAAGTCCAAAAAGCACTGCTCTAGATTACAGAAGTTATTACTTGGACAAATGTAGTCCATCATTTCAAAACATTTTGAAATAATAGCTCTATTTTAGGCATCCCAGGCTCTGAACTTGCCAGTGATACAATTAAATTGCAAATAGAGACCCTGATTTTGAGAGTAAGCAGTCATGTCTCTTGCTTCTACCATTTGGGGTTTAAACGCTCCTTTTCTGCAGCACAAACTGAAAGTTCCCACTGTGGGGCTGAGACACAATGATAAGGGCCTCCCTGTGCAGCACTGTCAACATGACAAGATTATATGGCAGTGTTTCGAGCATCATGACAGGAGTCACAGAACAGTGCCCTGAAATGAATGACACTGGGTGCGTTGCCCATTTGTGAAAGGCTCTCAGTGTAGTCTCTCTCTCTGATTATCTTTAAGCCAGCCTGGCTGCCTTTGGTTGATGCATCCCACCGGCACCTGGAAAAAGCTGTTTTGAGATGATAAAGCAGGGGAGATGCATTAGCTACTTGCTGGGAGCTTTGATTTATTTTTTCAAATCCTCTTTGGGCACCAATTTTCTAACACATTCATTCTTACCCAGAAGAATGTAAGGGGCCTGAGAAAGGAGACTTAGTGAGTCTGGCCCACTACTGGCTCATACCATCTTAAACAGTGCTGTGTACTGACTTGACACGCAATATAAGTTGTCCGGTAAATAAACTAATATATATACACTTATCATGAAAATATGTGATTGTTAGTGACCATCTGTCTGCAGGAGATACAGAAAGACAAGTTTTATAGCTCTTTAAGTTGAAAACAGTAATTTAGGCTCCACTGGGGAAGAGAAATGAGACTGAGACCTTAACACTACCCCTAGGTTTTTAGTTGAATATGGGGTGAAGTCACACATGCAGATAGCATTCATATGCAAAGCAGACTGAAGCAATGGTAGCTAAAGATGTAGGAAATATAGGAGTCCCCCCAAAAACGGAACAATTTAGTCTGGCATGAGTTTGTGAAAGTGAGCTAGGCTGTGGCTTGAAGAATAAGGATAAATTCATCAACCAGCAACACAGGAAACAGCAAGAAGACACAGAATAGTGCCTGCCTCAGCCTCACACATCCCTCCAGAACAAGGAAATGCACCTATCCAGGGATACTCTCTGCATTGCAGGAACCTTCTAAAACTAGATCATTCATAAAAACTGATACTTTTGAAAAAAAAGTTTAAGATGTCAGGAAAATATCAGCTTGCTTAAAAGGTTATAAAATGCTTAAAAAGTCATTTTCTGACCTTACCTGGTTTTGAACCAAAAGTTACTTTAAGAGGCAGTGTCCTACACTTAGGTTTATGGTATTCAACAAAAAGATGGCTACCACTCCTGATAGTTCGGAAACATAAAAACATTTTTCAGATCATAGAGGCAGCTCAAAGATGGACAGCAATTAGCAGCAGACAGAGAGTGAAGTGCAGCCTTGAATCCTTGAGGGTTATGGCTCCTACCTTCTAGAAACTTGAGTGTCCTATCAAGAATGTGGAAGTGTGGCAGAACTAGAGATTCTATGAGACCTTTAACACTGACATTCTATCAATTCTATTTTCTCCCCTGATTTTTTTCTGAGAAATTGGGCAGTCCTGTTAAGCTGATTCATGCTGGCATTGTAGAACAAACATTTGCAGAAGTTGTCTGAGCCTTCTCATTGAATATGTAACATTCTAAGTTAGGAACCTCAGTAATGTCACAAAAGAGGTAAAGTGTTCTGCACCTGTATGGTAGAACTACTATTTTTAATGTTATTGTTTTGTAAGGAAATTCCCTAAGTATTCCAAATGTAAACCCATACTTAAGTTAAATGAGATATACCTGCCATGCCTTCAGAAACAAAAGCACTCCTTAGTTAGTTTAGCAGATCAGTTACCTTATAAGGCCATATTTCCTAAAACCACATTGCTATGTCACATCTCCACAGATCTAAGAGGGAGAGAGTCCATTAGCAGCGGTCTCAAAGGGAAAAAAAGTCATTTCTGCAGCGCTCTGGTAACACTAGCAGGCATAAGTCAAAGAGTAAACTCTGTGAACCCTTCTACTTAGGCTTGGGCTGCAAATCCTAGCCAGTGCCTGGAGCTAACAAAGGAAAGAAGCATTTAAAAGCCAGAGGAAACTGAGACAAAACATAGTCCTTGCAAATCACAGATGTTCTAGGTAATTCATGAGAATCATTTTGAGATATTTGTAAACTTGGAGCTATAAAAATCAGTCCTGTTCCTACATGCAAACAAAGATATATACAAATTTAAATTTTAGAAAGTATACCTTTAGAATAATAATAATAACAACAAAGAAATCCCTGTCACTAAGACTAAATGTAATAGATAATGCAATATCCAGAATGTTACTGGAAGAGACTGAAGATAAACAGCAAAGATAATTAAAAGAGTTAGAAATGAGACAGTAACATTACCCCTAGGTTTTTAGTTGGATGTGGGGTGAAAAGACACTGATAACACCATTTGATGGTTACAACTTTATTTTATTTTAGGTACATTTACTTAAAGAATGGTGGAAAAGACAATTCCATATTCTTGCCAATTCTTCCAAAATATAGACAAAGATTCAATGTATTAGCCATAACAATACAGATAGTATTTTGTGATGTACTTAACACATCTCTAAGTTAAATGTAAAAGATCAGAAGGCACGCCAAAAGATTACGGGGATGACCTACCCTACCAGAGAACAAAACTTGGTTTTCAAAATGAAAAAAAAAAAAAAAAAAAAAATATATATATATATATATATATATATATATATATATATGAAAGAAAAAATCATAGGAATTAAGAAAAAATAGTAATAGTTTATGGGCATAATAAAAGATCATATATTTTCATACATTTGTTTAATGGTAAAGATAGAATTGGGAGTCAATAAAGAAATGAAAGCCAGTTCAGTACTATACCCTAGAAAAGAAACTATTTTCTTTTCTAGAAAAGAAAATAGTTGAAATAGTTATCTCCCCAATAACAAAAAACTGTTCCTAATTAAGAAATTCTTAGTTGTAAAAGATTTAGAAGACGTTGTCAGAGAATTGGATTTATTTTGATCTTGTTGTAGAATTTTCCAAAACAAAAGTAAAATGAATAAAATATAAAAAATATTAAATAAATGTACCTAAAATAAAATTGTAATCATCAAATGATGTTATCAAAGAGGTTCTAAGCCTAAATACAAACTAGAATATATAACCGACAAAGATTAATATATGGGTTATAACTTATAGAAGATAATAAGGAAAAACTTACGAAAATAATAACATGCAAAGAATAGATACCTCATAGCAAACAAAATGCAGGCGTACATAAAGATAGAAAAACTATTCAACATGCTCAGTAGTTGGGCAAAAGGAAGCTAAAACCACTTCAAACTTAACACATTTACAAAATCCAAATGTTGATCAAAGAACTAGAATAATTTGAATAACAAGATAGCATTGAATGAGAACCTACAATATAAAATGAGCATCTATGTATACATAATGATTTAAATAAGTGATTATACCAATTAATAGAAAAGAAAAACACAGCTGAAAGTCTTCAAATAAGCTGTGTAAAGATTGCATTCTTTTGGAATATGGTATGGTGTTGAATCATTATTGCTAACTTGACAAGCCATTTAGAAGACACACTGTGAGGGTGTTTGCAGAGAGACTTAACTAAGAAAGACTCATCCTGAATGTAGGCAATCCCATCAGCTGCAGTTCTTGGGGTAACAAAGAGATGAAAATGAGCTGAGTCTCATCAGCATTCATTTCTCACTCTGTTCTGACTGCTGACACAGTGTGACCAACATCCTCACACTCCTGCCTCCATGTCTTTTTCATCCTGATAAACTGTGCCTTCAAACTGTAAGACAAAAGAAGCTCCTCCTGCCTTAACTCATTTTGTGCCCAGTGTTGGTAACAGCAATGAGAATAGTAACTAATAGTCACTCCTAGAGTCAAGCATGTGTATAATCTCAGCACTTGGGAGACAGGAGCAGAAGGATCAGGAGTTAAAGGCTAGCCTCTGCAAGTGAGGTCAAGATACGCTATCTTGCCTAAGTGAAAAGAAAGAGTTGGGAGAGAAGGAAAAGAAAAGAAACAATAAAAAAATTGCTTATCATTCCTTAAATGTGTCTTTGCATAGTGATGACTTCTTTCCCTGGTACACAGGACAGGTTGAGAGAAAGAAAGAAAAAGAAAAGGAGAAGGAAGGGGAGGAGAGGCAAGGGAGTAGAAGGAAGAGAAGAAGAACAAGAACAAGAGAAAGGGGAGGAGAAGGAAGAGGAAGAGAAGGAGGAGGAGAAAGAAGACCTTTATTATGGAGAAACCTGACAAATCCTGACTCAAACAGATGATCAAATTCAAAATTATCTGTGATAAATCATGCCTTCCGTATACACTCATGGTACATGAGCATGATGGTAGCATTCTTTCTCTATCACCTTCCTGCCAAATGTTTTTAACCAAGACTAACCACGAGGGAAACAACAGAGACATTCCAACACAGGACCATCCTCTGGATGAACTTCCCAGCAACACTTAGGAAAACTGACAAGTTTTGCAAACTACGAGAGTGGGCCAGCTCTACCCTGCAATCTGCTTCTGTAAATAAAATTTTACTGGAGTATAGGCTTTCACTTCCATCTGTATGTTGTCTGTGGCTTGTAGTGGTAGAATAATTATGGCTGAGACAAGGTATCTTCTGAACTATACACACACACATACACACACAGAGAGACACACATACACACACACACAAACACACACAAATGTGTGTTTACTACCTGGTTCACCTTGTGTTAGAGAGGTGTGTATCTGTGAATTCATATGGAGGTTGAGGATAACTTTGAGTGTCCTTCATCAGGTACCATCTACCATTTGTTTGGAACAGGATCTCTCATTGGCAAGGAACTTTGCCAAATAGAATAGACTAGCTGGCAAGCAAGATCCAGGAATAGATCTGTCTGGGTCATCTCACCATGACTGGAACTACAAATATGTGGCCATCACCTCTAGCTTTCATTTATGAGTTCTGTGGGGCTAAACTCAGGTCCTCACACATATAAGAAAAATACTTCACTAGTTAAGCCATCTCCCCTGACAGAACCTATCTCTTTATAGGGAAAAAAAATCATGGACCCCTTTCGTTTTGAAAGTTATCATGAACACACTTCAAATTTCCAGAACTTCTTATGCATTGTCTTATTCCAGCCTGAAAGAACTCTGTGGTTTTGAAGGCTTATGTAATTAGATTAGACCCACATGGATAATGTAGAATAATCTCCCTATATTAAGTCCTATTGTTTTCATTATAGTTACAAAATCCTCTTGCTGTGCATTAGAACATGTTTACAAAAAAAAAGAACATGTTTACAGGTTACAGAGTCTTAGTTAGAATGGCTAATAATGCTGCTCTGTCTCTGCCATGGCTGTACCTACCCAGAGAGAAGAAGTTAGGTACTAGGCAAGGACCCCTGCTTCCATGTTATAACCCTTGGCAGACATAGTGCATTTCCTGTATGCACTATGGTATCCTTCCTTCCATGGACAATCTGTTAATTGGCCTGTAATTTTGTCTGTAAAGCAAACATACCATGAGTTAATAGAAAGCCACAGGGCCAGAATTTGAAAAGTATCACCTTTAGTCTTGTCTATCTGTCATGAAAATTACTTACCATGATGATGAAGAGGGAACAATTGACTATGGACTCATCCTCCTTCCCAGAAATTGCACCAGATTCTAGCCTTTCATTGATTATCTGAATCCTTATGGCAGCCTGGAAGCATGGAGCTTGCTGTGCCTCTTAGTGAGAGTGTGTTTTCTCAGAGACATGAAAGGGCTCCTTGAAAACAGCACAGCAAGTCAATGACCGAGCGAGGGTCTAATCTCTCATTGACTCAGAATTATTTGGTTCCTGAACAACTCAGCTCGCTGTAATTTGTAACACTACAAGAGATGACAAAACCTAAGAGCCACTCTTCCTGACCCCATGATCAGTCAGGGACAGCATTGTTGGCATTGCCTGCCACTTTGCCACACTATTGTGTACTGTCGGGCTAAAATCCTGGAAGCTCTTGGCAAGATATCACTTTGCCCACTAAATGTCATGGGAAATTCACTACATTCAATAAATTCCCTTGTCTATGTTCATAACCAGAGTCAGGCTCTCCAATGTTAACCTTCAGTCTACTCTTAAACTCCATTTAGTGGTCTTTCTGCCCTTATCCTTTTAAAATCATCTCTGCTCTTGTCTCTATGTAAATTCCCTACTTATTCTTGGTCAGACAACTCAGGATTTCAGTTCTGAGAATTCTCATAAAATTGCATGGTACCTCTGTGGGCTGTTATCTGTAGTCTAATCCTGTGACAACAGACAACTAAAAACTTCCATGCCCATTTTATAGATGAGATATCGATAAAGATGAGTACCTTATCCCATGTCACATGCTTAATAAACTGCTGAGCTAGGACTTAAACCATTGCCTGACATGAGGAGTTCCCATCTCAAAACTCTCCTAAATTTGGTTTCTAGGGCAAAGTTTACTCTGCAAATTCTAATGTTCTTCCGTGTTCAGAAAGTGTTTCAAGTTCGAATACAGACTTGGGTCATAAATGAAAGCTGGAGGTCTGAATTCTGGAAAATTAAAGATTCTTCATAATCTGGAAAATTCAGGAATAATCAAGGTGAGTTTTCTTTTTCTGGATCCTTCTTTTTCTTTTAGACCTTTTTTGGAAGCTATGCAGAAGGTCATGGTGAGGCTTTCAGAGTACAAAGAAACCTTCCAGCCCCTGTTCACCATCCATTAAGTTCCCACCTCCTTATTTCCCAAAATTTTCATCTATAAGCTGAAATCAGAGTACACTTCCATAATACCTGTGGTTCCCAGGACGCAGGCCTCCTCCAGGCCACTCCCAGTATTCTTCAGGATCATGTTAGAAATGCACATGCTCAGACCTCTGAATTCTGGAGCTGGAGCAAACACTGTCAACTCCCTATCCTCTTCTGATGGAGACTGAAAGCTGACAACTACTGACTTAGTTGGCTATTTTGAGCATTAGATGGAGTGATATCTAAGTGGCTAAGCCTGACACCTAAATCCAGAACTCTCAGAAATGTAGTATTTCTGATTTCTTTAAAAACAGGATGGATGGAGGATTGATGAGTCACTAACACTTTAGTGTAAACTAGTTTGACATATTTCCTAAGAATTATTTGAGCCTATAAAACACTATGATTTAGTAGATATTTTAAGAACCACTTGACATGCGAGTGGCAGAATTGGGACTCAAAAATGTGCCCATTTTCCCAAAAGGTACTTGGAACGGTTACTAACCCTGTGCTCAATTTATTTGCCATTCCACTCCCACTCCTATTTAGCATTAAACCCCAGTATACTAAGGAGGACAAACCCAATCAAGAATTTGCAATGCTTTCATGCTGGCAGTGCCAAGGACTGACTGCTGTGTGGCGAGAATCTGAAGTCTCCTGCCTGGGGACCTGAATAATTGACCTGCTCCACTTACTGATGAAGGCAAGAAAATATGGCGCTGGTCTTGAAGGAAGGCATCCGTCCTTCATTCCTGCTAAAAATAAAAGAATCACCCTAATGGACACTCACTCAAAGGCTATTTCAAAGCAGATCTAAATTAGCCACTCGCTGTAATGTGTTCCCTATATTAGCTACCTAGTCTTACAAGGGTAACAGGTAAAGTCATCCTGGTGTGCTATGAGTCAGAGCTAGTGAAGTGTCCTGGTGTAGTGACACCATGCCACATTAGAAGACTCTGTGGTCACACATACAGTGGTTCTGATGGCCACTGGAAGGCTAAGTTGTGTCTGAACTGTATTAGTGACAAGATAGGGGATGAGGTCCCCTGTCATATGGGCCAAGATGGTTCATTCACCCAGCTAATAACTATTACAGGGACAGTCTGTGCTGAGGGAGGCAGCAGAGAGCCAGAGACACTGGGACATTTTCTTCACCTTGCCTTCAGATGTGAAACACCCAGTTGTGGTGGGTGATCCTGGTTGTCAACTTGTATGAACCTGGAATCAGTGAGCAGGCAAGGATCTGAGTATACTTGTGAGAAATATTATGGATTAGGCCAATAAAGCATGAAGACTCACTCTAAATGAAAGGATATCTTTGTCAGTGGCTCATACAAAAAGATGTTCGTAGGAAAGGTTTTGGCTTTGGGCCTGCTTGGTCTTTTAAGCCCACAGGTGAATTTATCTATGCTGCTTCAAATCCATTTACCCTGTTGCTGTCACCACCACTGCCACAGCCACTGTTGCTGCTACTGCTTCTGCTGCCATAAGAGCCCAGCTGTTTTCTACCTTGCAGCATGGAATGAAGAGCCAGTCACTCCAGTAATCCTCCAGACTTTCATAGCAAGATTGGAAACGTTGAAGCATCCAGCCTTGTGAACTAAGCAGAAATTGGTCCTCTGCCTCCCCAGTGTGGTGGCAGCCATTGTTGGACTCTCCACAGCATACTGTGTAATCCAATCTAGTAAACTGCCTTTTTAATATATATTTATTCTGTTGGTTCTATTCCTCTGGAGAACCCTGACTAATACAGTAGCTATCTCCAGTGCCTCATGGCATTCTGTGATCTGGGAATGCGGCTAGCCATTCTAAATAGGAGCCTAGAACATACCCTAGGGAGATAGCTGAGAAAAGGTGCCCACCATGGTTGATTGGCAGCATCATTTAACAGCCATCAGTTAGCATTACTTTAAGCACTTCATATTTGTGTGTTAAGCTTTCTGTTTGATTCAGTATAATCCTTTGAATGGGACTGACCTATATGAATGTGCTCATAGGAACCAGTAAGAGAACCCTGTCTGTGTATCTTCATTGATGTTTCTGTATTCTAAAGGCCTCCTGGAGTGGCCTTAGGAGTTAGAACAATGCTTAGCAAGAAGAGAGATTGTGAGGTTTGAAGCACTGCATGAGATTACACATAGGGGAGTGGGTTCTTTTTAACAACAAAACTTCTAAACGTGGGAAGTAGGACAAACTCCATACTCTGTGGTGTATGATCTGTTTTTTTGTATGTTCCTGTGTGCAAATGTAGGGGGTGGGTGTTGAGGCCAAGGATCAGCCTCAGTGTCAGGCCTCGGGAGCCATCCACCTTGTTTTTTAAGACAGGAAGGATCTCTCACTGACCAGAGACTTCATACAGTTTTGTTAGCTGGCCAGTGATCCCCAGAGATCTGCCTGTTTCCAACCCCCATGCCTAGTGATAGATACTCAGCATCAAACTCAGGTCATGTCATGCCTTCCCTTTGGATATTTTATTAATTAAAGTAGGTCCCCAGCCCCATGCTGGTTAATCCTGATGTTCAACTTGACTGACTAGATTTAAAGTCATCTAGGAGACAGGCATGTCTTTGAGGGCATTTCCAAGAGACTTAAGGGAAGTAGGAAGACCCATCCTGAGCAAGGGCAGCACTACCCAGTGAACCGGGTTCCTGAATGAAATAAAAAGGGAAAAGTGAATTAAACACCAGCATCTATCTCTCTTGACTTCCTGAGTGAAGATGTAATGTAACTAGCCTCCTGAAGCCCTACACCTACACCTTCCCTGCCATGAAGGACTGTACCTCAATCCTAAAACTGAAATAAAGCCTCCCTAAAATCGATTTTTGCCAGGTATCTTTGTCACAGCAAGAGAGAGGTATGAGGAGGGAGAGAGAGAAAGGAAAACTAATACATTTGTGAATTCCAATGCTTGACTTGTGTTAAATTATAACTGAATTTGTAAAACTACAGCTCAGACATTTTCTTACTTGTCTTTCTGCATCGAGCACCCTGGGAAGCCGTCATATGGAAAGATCCTTGTACCTGGTATCACAGAATAATTCTTAAAAACACAGCCCCTCTGTCCATAAACAGTTTGTCTCCTCTTAGCTACAAGATCCACTTGGATGAACAGAAGATAGTTTGCTGTTGTTGTTGTTGCTTGTTATTTTTGTTTGTTTGCTTTGTTTTCTCCTGAGAACATCTGTATTCCCCCTTTTTCCTCAAGAACCAGTGTGTCTTGTGCACAGAAGAAGAAGACCTGTCTGAAGTCTTCAGTCTTTCAGACTACAGAGGAGGTAATCTATTTCTAAGCTTTGTCATCCTGGGCTGAAAGAGACTTCAATTGAAGTTAACTTGGGAGAGCTTCTCAATGGTCAATCCTCCTCAAGATACGCCTATCTACAGAATGGGGTGCTACCCTGAAGGCCAGAGGAAGTTGTCAGAACATCCTTCTACTGCTCTATCAAGGAAGGACAGAGGACATAAATCAGAAAAATAGGTTGGTGTGGGCAGAAAGGACAGAAGGACAAATATGTTTGGAAGAGATAGCTTACAGCCTGCCCTGCCCATTGCACCACCATCTCTGTTCAACTATGGTCAAATGTCCACAGCCTGCCCAAGGATACCCTACCCTCCCAGGAAGAGCCTTCACTGCCTCGTCCTTATAAAGGACAAAGCTCTTTTCTCCCTTGTCCATTCTGCTTTTGATGACTCTGCCATCCTGATATCTCTCTCTCTCTCTCTCTTTCTCTCTCTCTCTCTCTCTCTCTCTCTCTCTCTCTCTCTCTCTCCCCCTCTCTCTTCCTCTGTCTGTCTGTCCCTCTCTCTGTCTCCCTGTCTCTCTGTCTCTGTGTGTGTGTGTGTATGTGCGTGTGTGTGTGTGTGTGTGTGTGTGTGTGTGCCCCACAATGGTGTTTGACTTTTTACCCAGAGCTTCTCCTTTCTTCACCAATAGGACGATCTGCTACTGTTCACAAGAGTCCTAGGTACAGGGCTGCAATAGGGATCAATTAGAGAATATATATATACAAATACCTACCTATGTCTGGCACCAGCTAAGACAAACTTTTGTTGGTTATGATTGGTAAAATCATAACCTTTTTATTGTCTGATAAGGAGCCTATCTTGGTTCTGTATGCAACATACATTTTGCAACCCTTTGACAAATACTTTGAGATACAAGGTACTAATACAGCCCGTAGTTATGGCTTCCATCCTGGCATTTCCACTTTGAGAAGGGACATTAAAGGCTCTCATTCAAACAGATCCTTTTTAGGAATGTCTACTTGTATCACTGCCTGGGGACACAGAGCACAGGTCACAGGACCAGAGTTCACATCTACTCGTGGCCAGAACATCCCACTGTGTCATATTCTCAGAGTACAGGCTGAGCAGTATCTTTACTATAATCCCAGATGTCAAAGTGAGCTAACAGCAGGGTCTTAGAAAAACACTTTAAACAGATGGTCTCTGACATCATAAGAATTCAACTTAAAATCATTTGACTTCACCATGATGTGAAAACAACCCACATGATCATTCTGCCTTTTGTGTTCAGTACAGTATTCAGTAAGTTGCATCAGATAATCAGCACTTTATCATAAAACAGTCTTTCTGTTGTAAGCTCATGTAACCTGACTGTAAGCTAATGAAAGTATTATAAGCACATTTACTTACATTCTATAAGTGGCGAATTAAATAGATGTTCACTTTGAAGTATTTTCAATGTATGGGTTTACTAACATCTAAATATGCAAACTTCTGCTCATAACAATATTGTTTGCAAGAGTCAAGAGATTCAAGTAACTCAGGTATGTGGGGTGGTGGGCTGTGAGAGGCAGCTGGGTACCTGGTCTCACCTCAAACCCGGGATACCCTAATGGGACAATAGATGTTCGCCCTTGCTCCTAGGTTCTGGTTCCTTTCACTTATCCACAGCCCCTCCCAAAGAAAGGTTCGTGGCCTACCTTGGTATGTGGTATGTTCACATACCACAGGTAGAGGGCATGACTACAGGCTTCAGAGCCTCAAGAGATCTCCATATTAATGAGATACCTAAAGGCCGGAGGGCATAGCCAATTAAGCATTCCTTCCCAGACCCTCCTACTTGCAAAAGATATCTAACCTCAGGCTCATCCTACGGACGTGGGGTACAGCTTCATCCACTTTCTCCCATGACAATAACCGTTTTAAAACCATGGACTTCCTCTCATACTTGGGGCCCACTGCGGGAGACTGTAGAGATGAAGATGGAGGCCTGCCAACTCAAGCAAGCTAATCGAGCCAGCCATGACCCAGCCAAGCAAGTCACCACAACCAAGAGTCTCTATTCCACAGGGCGCCACCAGAGCTTCTCTTCCTCGTTTTTCTCAGCTATGGGCCAGTCCAGCCCATATGACCCCCCCATCTCAGTCCTTCTGTGGTCTCTCAGTGGTGCCTGGGAGCCCAAGGGCTGAGAGACAACTGGTCTCCCGTCAGCTGCTTCTGCTGGAGATCCTCAACCCAAGAGCTCTGTCCCTGTGGGACCTCAGACTGAGATCTCCCCACACCTGGAGTGGAGCTCGGTGGCATCTCATAGTCCGGTGTCTACCCAGCACCATATGGAGTGAACTCAGTCAAATTCCCGTGCTTCTGCCACCCTGAGCAGCTTGGGGCGGCAGACACACGGAACCCACAACTCAGCCCAACAGAACACATGCTCACACGTACACTACAGACCACACAGGTATGTGCTAACAGAGTGAATGGATAATCAGAATGTTGAAGACAGATAAAATGGAATGCTATCAACCTTAAGTGGGAAAGTACTAAGCAACATAAACAAGACATGAAAGGACATGCATGGACTAGTAAAATTTATAGGCCCAGAAGATAAAATGATGGTTTCCAAGAAAAAGGAAGGGTAAAAAACAGGGTGTTAATGTCTAGTGGGTAATAGGTTTTTGTTTTGGGTCGAGGATGTAGTTTAGTGGTACACCATCTTCCTAATATGCATAAAGTCCTGATTTCAATCCACAATGCTGCATATAAATAAGTATTCAAAGTTACAAAATGAAAAGAACTCCAAAGATGGGTGGTATTGAAGGTTGTTTTTTTTTTAAATATTTAAGATGGGGCCAGTGCAATAGCTCAGGGAGAAAGGCACTTGTTGTGCAAGCTTAGCATCCTGAGATAAACCCTGGAACTTACATGATAGAAGGAAAGAAGTTACTCCTATAAGTTGCCCTATGACTTCTATTTATGCTCATGCATGCATGCAAATACTCACAGTAAATAAATCAATTATAATAAAACAATGCTAGCCTTTAAAACAGATTAAAATAGAAAATAGTATATTATATATTAATAAATTTGTATATGTATGATATATGTGCTTGCTTTTGTGTTCATGGGTGCACGTGGAGATCTGTAGCTGACTTTAGGCATCCACACTGGTTGTTACTAACTTTTCTGGGGGGGAAGAAGGGCCTCTCACTGGACCTGGACTTTTTCAATTCAGGTAGACAGGCTGGCCAGTGGGCTCCAGGGATCTTCCAATTCTCCACCAACCCCTGATGCTGGGATCAAAGATCCAGGATGCTATGTTCAGCTTTTGTGTGAACTCTCTGGATCTGAACTCAGGTCCTCATACACTTTATTGACTGAGCCATCTTCCCAGCTCCATACCTTAGGAATTCTGTAATAGAATTATTGACAATAATATTTTTTAATAACAAAATAAAATTCTGATTTCTCAGCCACTCTGGACTCTCAAAAGTGGATCTGAAACTGACTTTAAGAGTTCTTGGCTGACTTTGGCCAAAATGCATCACCGCTTCCCTACGGCACAGCTTATAAACAACTTATGGTTAACAGAGGTGCAGGGGTGCATGAGCTGGAGCACAATTGAAACTCAAAATACTACCAATACTATCATGATTTCCTACTAACTAGAAGGGTGCAACATAATTTCCTTTCACTTAGACGGAGGAAATAAGGCTAGATGACTTTCAGCCTCCATACTTGGCAGTTCCCTCATAGGTCTAGCATTTCTGGGCAAACACACACTGGCTCCCTCCTCATCTGGAACCACATCCTTGCCTGGGGTAATGAAGCCTTGTCTTGCTCTCTGTACTAATTAAGACCTCTCTGCCAGATAAGCACTCAGGAAGAGAGATTCCCATCATTGGTCTGAGAGAGAGGGAACTGCAACCACCACTGCAAAATTCAAACAACTCAGTGTGCTTCTTCCTCTCCTCCCTTAACTCAGCCTCCTAACCTGCCATCCTTGCCTTCCTGGACACTCCCAGAGCCAGGATTGACAATGAACAGTAGGGAAAGGGGAGTCAGCAAGGTTCTGAGTAAGGTGATTGGCTGAGACACTCCATGGGGTCTAGGTGAAACTGGAGTGCTTTGTCAGTATTAGGAAGAAAGAGTTTATATATGTATACATTGGTCAATTCTCGCTACTGTGACAAAAGACAAGAAAAAAAAATCACTTTAAAATGCCAAAGGTTTATTTCGGCTCACGGATTTAGATGTTTTGTTCCATGGTCACATGTTGTCTTGGAGCCATGGTGATAAGATGATGATAGCAAGAGCATGTGTCAGAGGAGTGCCATTCACCTCATGGCAGCTGGGGACAGGGGTCAGATGAGGTCTCAGTTCCAGTGACCTAATTCCCTCCAAGTAGGACCCTCTTCTTAAAGGTTTTACCATTGGCCAGTGGCACCACAACTGGAACCAAACCTTAATTCATGAGACTTTGGGGGACACTTCTGATCAAAACCTATAACAGTAGACCTGGGACAGATTTAGAATAGAAATCTATCAGAATTGAGGTCTTAGTTGGGTATTAGCA